TTCTGCGAAGGTAGGGGATTTTACAAAAACAGCTTCAACCATTTAAAATTCAGCGCGTTTAGTACGTCAGTAAAAAACAAACCAACTGAACATGCTGATGAAATTGGCTTATTCACTGCGGACGCCATTGAAAATACCGAAGGGTTGACACTGGGAGGACTCTTGCTGCTTGCCTTGTTATCGGGCGGGGATTACGCAGCGGGGTTAGAGGGCTGTGGTGAGGTCACCGCTCACGGGCTTGCCAAGTGTGGCTTTGGGGATGAGCTCCTCGGGGCCTTCAATACCCTGCATGGCGAAGATCTTTCTACCTTCTTGGTATCCTGGGTTGACAGCATCCGCAATGAACTGGTCTCGAATACTCATGGCTTCCTTCCCTCACGTCGCCCAGCCCTTGCTGATGCTATCCCACCCAACTTTCCTCCAGTGAATGTTATTGAGTTTTACGTGCAGCCGAAAACAACTTCATTTTTCCCTTCTGGCAAGCTCCCCTTTGCGGCGTGGAAACCGCGTGAAATTCGCATCAACAAACTCGCATCGTTTTCCGCAAAGAACCTTGGTTGGACAGATGCAACAGCGCTCCGAAAAACGTTTCACTCCAATATTTGGGAGGGTGTTTTTCTTCAAATGTTGATTTCCGTAAGATTGACATTTCTTGCTATACCTTCAGTGCACTGATAGCCATTTTATTTTCATTTTTAACTAGCCCTGGGTGCTCTATAATCCCGAGACTCACATCATGCAAACTGATAACATGAACACCACAATTCTAGAACTTCAACCGAAGCAACGCCAGACCCGTCGTCAATCAAATATCTGTTCTTGGCACCGTGTTAAAATCTCAACCAACAACTTCATTGAATTTAGTGTTTGAAAGTCCGGTTCGGTCCGGTTTTTTGATGCCCAGGGGTGTTAACCGTAACCGTAACCGGTCTGCATTTTCCCCAGAAGTCAAAAGACCAGACCGGACCGCANAAAGACCGCAGACCGCGGTTTTTTGCGGTCTATAGACCGGTTTCGGTCTGCATCGGTTTTAACTGGTTTATGACCGGTC